CTCGCCGGTTGAGTCGGCGCCGTGGGATCAGTGAACATTCACCACGACGCCGCCCCGCCGCCCTAGCTTACGCCAGGGCTCCCGCGCCAACGGAGGGGCGAGTCGGTTGTCCTCCGACCCGCCCCCAGACGAGCGAGGCCGTGCAATGCAGACTCCGGAGTCCCTGTCCAGAGCCCGCTGGTCTCACTAGGGAATCAGGCGAGCAGTGAACTGCCTTCGCCTTCTCCCCGTACGTCTGCGCCGGAACGGGTGCGCGTCTGGGTATTCATGTGGCCTACATTTATTGCTCTCGGTGAGGTTGGGCGTAATTTGTGATTGTTTATGTGTGTGTCCATGGCGCAAGCAATACATGGCTTACCTGGTGTAGGGCTATGACTGTAAGCTTTATTTATTTAAGTGATGGGACGAACTAGTCATGCGCATAATTGCAATGGTTTAAGTCGCAGAGATCTAAAGGGCGTTTACAAGCTCCATGTCCTTCATAACCGGAACGGAGTAATGCTCGCCTTACTTCTTTAAATTAACTTTTTCACAAGGAGCTAGCTACTAAAGAAGCCAGTTGAGAAAAGTTAGTTCTCAGGGACACACAACCCAGGACCCTTTTACACGCTCCACTGAGATCGTCTGGATATACATAAAAATAAAAAAGCCCATCTCATAAATCAAAACATTTTGCACAATTTATTAAGATCAATTTACCACATTCCCTGGCGACATAAAAAGAAAGATGTCTCCATACGCTGCACACTTCTCCCGCTAAAAACCGGTCAAGTGGGAGTCGGGGCAAATATTCCATAAACGAAGAACGTGTTTATTTTTAACTTGGTGTATGGTGGTAGCAATCTTATTGCTATTCCGTTTGCTTAAATAAATATGTTGGAATGTGCACCTTAGAAAGATAATTTTCGTTTCTATACACAATAGTCTTCTTTCAATGCAGGTAAAAGTAAGAAATTTGTAGACGCATTAAAAATGCCTGGAGGAGCTGTTGTCGATGAAATATCTTATGAGGCTATTCTCCCAATGTCTCTCAAAAAGAAGCTGATGGACACGTCCTTTCCATACTGCCTTATGGGACACAGACTTGGTCACTAACGAAGATCCAAAAGTCCAAACTCAGGATCCGTTAATGAGCAATGGAGAGCATACTTGGTGTGAAACGGACCGACCGAATTCGACCTATTCGGAACACGACACTGCGCTCCCAAATACAGATTGCTGATGGAGCCTAAAAAGCTGCGAAGCAGAAATGAAGTTCAGCCGGTCATGTTTGCCGCATGTCTGACGACCAATGTGCCAAGGTAACCACGGTAAAACCGTAAGGCGCCACGGCAGACCGAGGAAGCGATGGCGTAACGAAGTAGACGCCTACGACAAAGCTTGGGTTCATTTAGTTCAGGATCGTGATGCGTGGAGTAATCAGAGGGAAGCCTTTCCTCAGCTGTGAGATACATCAGGCTAATTGTTATTGTACACAATTCTACGATAATGTCATCGATTTTATTACCCTCAACGCAAAAAGTGAGGCGTTACAAGTTGAAGCCTTTGTCTGTATATAGTGAGTTTGTCCGTCTGTGGCATCGTAGCTCTCAATCATATGGATCTCAAAGCGGTTTTTCTTATTTGAAGGCTTATTTGGTCGTGATGGTTCTTATAATATAATCTCAGCTGTTGAAAAGTCATGTAGCGCTTTTCTAAGGTGGAGTAATGAATTGAAATGAGGTTTATTTGAATTACATAGGCTATTACAGGATTGTAATTATTACATTTGAGTTCATCTATTCAGCCATTATACAAAAGCAAGCAAAATTTAATTTTCTAAGTATTCATTTACAGTATAATATCCTTTTTTTAACTAAGTATATACAGTTCTGCTGTCATCTTTTTATATGTCAGTATTTTTATTTCAATAAATTAGTAATCTATTATAAATTTTCATGCACATGTAATATGAACTTTCTAAGTAAAGTGTAGTTTTAGGTACATTTTCAACGACAAATCTGTCTGGGTTTCTTTTTGCGCGTGGCTTCATTTCTAATGATTTTTAAAATAATTTTAGATGTTGTTTGACAAATTTACAAACTTCATAAATAACATTGAAGGTAAAGTCAAAATATTTAAATTCTCGAACAGCAGCTTGCAAGATTCCCGTGGACCAATGCCGCACATTTTTGAGTTGTAAAATATGCTCGTTCAACATAAGTTCCATTACCCCATTTGATTAATCCATAACTCAGAACCGACGTGATGTAACCGTGGTAGCAAATAAACATTTTTTTTAGAAGTAATTTGTCTTAACCTATTATTATTAATCTGTGATCGAAGGGTTATCATTATGGACCGCCACGAAGATGTTTTAAACTAAAACAAGTGGTCTAAAACAAATTAGTTGCACAAACAGCACTTGTCACGACATCTGGTGCACCAACAGGTATTAAATACCCAACTACGCCATCTTGTGTCGCGATTAACAGTTCTTTTGAGTTAGACCGGTCCATGGTTCAGGAAGTAACGTATACAGTGAAACCGTAAGCAAACTTTTAAGTACCATTTTTTTAATAAAAATGTTTCTGTGCTATAGCTTGGTTTTGGTTTGAAGACATTAATATCACGAATATTTTTTTATGAAAATGACGAGAAGGAACAGTCTTGCGTCTGGTGGTAAGCGACACGCCTACCCATAACCGTTTCAGTGCCACTCACAGCTTTAAATCGCAAAGATCATCGCCATGAGACTTAATTTTCACAAGTCACATGACCTGTAGTTCCACCATCCTCAGTCCTTTAGTTAATAGTAGAAAATGCCATAGAGTTTTGCGCTATAGGTAACATGACCGACGTACGGTCATGTTACCTATAGCGCAAAGCGCTTTGAATCGGACAGTTCCGCTTTCAAGCTTCCTGTCCGGCTGTCCCCAAAAGACAAAACACGACACACGTGAAAATAAATTTAATATAATGGCGCCAAAGCACATTGTTTTTGGGGGTGATGTGCGGTTGGCGGCGGCTGCCGTGGAATAAATTTAATATCTAAGATCGGTTACACACGGGGACTTTTAGCAGCGATGCAGTCGCTAATCGTCTACCTTTACACACGTGCGCGATTTTAAGCATCGATGCAAGTGCGTGACTACATCGAAACAAATTCGCGATGCATCGCTGCACTTGGGATCCTGATCTCACGTAATAAAGAAAATTTTCTCATCCCTAAAAATATATAAAGCTAGCCCATCAGACCACACAAGATTAGTTCTTTTTTTATTTTTGATCACAAAAAAAAAAAACATTTTTAGTTCTTTAAAAAAAAAATTGAATCATTAATCATTTCGTAACTATTATAAACATGTATTTTATTTTTAAAACAATAATAAATTCACCCGCTCTGAGGGAGAAAAATAATGCTCACGTTAACTATAGGGCATCGGAGACTGGCAACTTCGGACAACTCTGCTTATTCTTTGACTTTAATGAGGAAACTTTCTTAGCGAGTATTTTTGCCTGTGGCCCCAGGGACCTTGGTTGTATCACAGCAAGAGACACAAAGCACTTGCCGAGATTGGTGTATTTGAGGACGGTCCTCGGCTGTTTAGCTGCAATTTATATAACATTAAATATTCCATTTGAAAGGTTAAAAGTAAGTCTGCACGTTTAAAGGAACCCTAAAAAAGAGACAAAAGCGCCCTCATCTGAGGCTAATAGAGTGTCCTCGACGCGGCGCGACAAGCCCTTCAGCGGTGAACGCTCTCTACGCCGTGTGTGTGGCGCCTTTACAGCCATTTTGCAAAGAAGAAAAGAAATCGTAAATTTTTGTAGATATAAACCTGCTTTGTTTTAGGTTCCTTTGCTATTATTGTTTATTAGGTGAATTAATAGAAAATGAACCTTAAGTGTTATGGTCAGACGTCAAGAAAAGGATGTATCTATCGCACAGTTTATCTAGCTCATCGAGTATGTAACCAGAATCAGATACGAAATAAGGGCGATACATTCCTGGTAATTCATCAGTGATACATCACTTATAAATATCAACTCTTGTTTGTACTGAAATATAGACAGCGCCAACAACTGACATGTGTGTACGTCTCCGTATATTCCAGAAATATTCTGTATTTATTGTAATAATGATAATATCTCTATCAATGGCGTTCTGGTCCATTCGGTGCTGTCAGGAAAAACAGCAAAACGTCTAATTTCAAAATGGAATCAAATTTAATCGATAATTAAATATTAAATATGTAATTTTGCAATTTTCGTCCATTACAGCAAAGCTCAAGTTAACTGGTCGATTTGAAGTGAAACAATTGACATCACCCGTCAATTGTTTCGAATTCGGGCTGGCCAATCGGAGTGCAGTTGTCACAGTAATGATATGGCAGAATAGTTTTCAGACAAATTAAATAACATTTCGTCTCTATTTTTGGTTATATGTGTTCCGGTTTTGAAGGGTAAGGGTGCTGGTGAAATTACAGGCACATGGGACTTGTCAACTTATGTCTCAGGGTGACGGGCACAGTGACAGTGCCCCTCAGATCTTTGCGATTTAAAGTCCTGAGTGGCACTGGCAACTGTTGTGGACAGGCGTGTAGCTTAACATCAGTGCGCCTGACTTGTTCGTCCTGTCACTTGATTTTCAAAATTTCAAATTAAAGTTATTAGTCAATAGGTTGTTTATTTGTTTTTTAAGTAGCATAAGGTAATTCTCAGACCTTTGGGGTATAAATTATTGAAAATTTTGTTTTGTTATCTGTTTACGCTCAAAATTTGCTACTTACGAATAATAAAACTCTTGGATGACGGAAATTCATAATATTTGGAATAAATAATGATAAGTATTTGCAAATGTTTACTTACAAAGAGCCACCCCTAGAGTTTCTTGCTCATTCTTCTCAGGGGAATCTGCCTTACGAATGAATACAAGACGAAGTGTAATTATCTTACCTATGAAATAGAGATATAGCGTTTGGTTTCATGTATTCTTACAAGTATTTTCTTTGTTACAGTCCTCTCGTACGCATCCTGCTTCCAACAACAGTACTTCCGAGTGCTTCCGCGCAGCCTGCGCGTACAGGAAGGCTCCGAAGCTGTGATGGAATGTGCAGTGTCCAACTTAGCTGGACAGGTGCAGTGGACTAAGGATGGATTCGCTTTGGGTAAGTTTCGTTCGATTCCTGCTGTGTACCGTTTAGGTTCACGGGTTTCTCTCAGAGAAAAGTTCAAGAAGGCTGGTATCACGACTGTGGCATCACAATACATTTACCCAAATATTTTATATGCCCGTAAAAATATACATAATGTCAATAAGAAAGAAAATATCCATAATATTAATCTCAGAGCTAAGTCCAAACTCTTGGTACCACGATTTCGTTTAACCAAAGTAAACTCTTTCTAACCGACTTCACAAAAGGAGGAGGTTCTCAATTCGTCTGTATGTTCTTTTTTTTTGTATGTATGTTACGCGATAACTCCGGTATTTGTGAACCGATTTTCATGATTCTTTTTTTGTTGGAAAGGGGGTACTTCCATAGTGGTCCCATTTCATTTTGAAGAAAATCATCCACCTCGAAGGGTGGCTGTTCACGCATGAAGATTCATTTCATAAATAGTGCCTAACATTAATTTAGGAGCAATTACTTTAATGGTTGATTTTGCTATTTCTCTAATTCAAGGCGTTTTTCTCTCAATATACTTTGAGTAGTGCGACCGATTTTTATTATCTCCAGTGTCAAGTCCTGTATAGTGGCGAACTAGGGGATATTTCAATAAAACTTAGCAAATAGACGTAATTCCACGTACTTTTGAGGTCGGTTTTTTTAGTACTCTGTACTGAGATTATATGGGAAACTGTTTACGTTTTTACAATACGATTCCCGTGCATATATTAAGATTATCATTTCCTAAGTTTAAAAACTACATTAAAGATATTTTAATAGAAAAGTCATTTACAAAATTGAGGACTACGTGTTAGATAAAGATGTATGGAAAAACGACATGGCCATGCACATGGATCAAATTTCTTTAAACAAAAATTTGATTACATAGCATTTAAGTTTATGTAAAAAGAGCTATCACTAGAGTTTCTTGCTTGTACTTCTCAGGCAAGTTAGCGTAGTGAACCAGCAGTAGCTTAAAAGTGACGTTTTCAAGTGTAAATTTATTCCATAGGTAAAATAAACAAAACACATTGGGCGTTTGTAATATGCCATTGTACTTGGTTGGGGCGTACGAGTTTATATACTACTTGTTCTTCGGACCTAGTGCATTTTGTTCGTTCTTCTTCGCTATGGATGTCAGATTGACCTTTGTAGATTTTATATTTCCGAAATAAGATATATAAATTTTTTAAACACCTTTACATAGGTCTTACTTTGAATAACGAAATTATTCTCGTAACGTAATTAGTCTCATTTCGCTATATATAATCACATCGGACGCTGTTCTTCGGATAAGTCGTTATTTCCCCAAAACTTAGACTCAAATTGTTTAATAACATATGTAGATACAAACACGAAATCGAATCGTTAAATATTTCTCAATCAAGAGATCGTGCACAAAAACAATTCATTTTAATTAATTTAATGTAACCGATATTGAATCGATGCACTGGTTAGTTACGGTGTTCGAATACTGATTCTAGTAATTGTTTTTGTGGACACGGATGAGTTACGCGGGAAGTTAGTAAATGTTCGCAAATAGTTATAATACAGGATACTTGCTGATCTTTTTTTATAAATAAATAAATAATATAAAAACACATTATTCTTCAACCGCAATCAACAACAATATTTAAGATAAAACAATGCTTAAATCTATCTCGATGACAAGAGAAGTCTCAGCAATTTGCTGGTTCTCAGAATCACCTGGCACCTCACTATAATAATAATAACGCACTCAACGTAGCCCCGCACTATGGAAGCCTTGCCATGGACACACGCATAGACAACCACAAATTACACCCAAATTCACGAGATAAATAAATGCCCGGGAATCGAACCTGGGACCTGTGCGTGGCAGTCCGGCGTGGCAACCGTTCGGCAGTTTATACGTTTACTACAGGAATAACAAACCATAAAGTGACGTACGTGCCGATGACCGAACATACTGCACTTAGCAGCATAGAGTGTTTTGCTGTGTTTAAAGAATACAACAAGTAGAGAATGGAATTTAGAAGACTAATTTTATTATTTCTAATGACGAATGGGAGCCTACATAATCTTCGACCAACAGTATGATGTTTCTGTTGTTACCTTATACTAGCTATATAGCGTTTGATTGAGCTTATAAATAGCCCATTAACCTGGGCGTGAATTCTGCTAATGGTATATCATCTCAGTTGTGTGTGAATAGAATGTCAAAGATAGGTTCCGTGGCTTAGTTGGCAGAGCGTCTGGCACGGTTTGCTAAAAGACGTCGATTCTAATCTGGCCGGATCGAATCTTTGTATTAATAATTCTAAGAAACTAGTGAAGTAATTTCACATAAAAATTAAATTATATTATAGACATTATAAGTAATTAAAAAAATATAAGTAAGTAACTTATAATACGATTTCATTCAATTGTCCTGATTTTATTGCTTTTAATTATATAAAATCTATAACAAAACCAAAAGTACAATATGTTACTGGGTTATCATAACAAGAATTATTTCTATTACATTTTATAAGCTGTCCAAACAATTTATTGTCGTGTACAAACCACTAAGTTGTCTTGAAACCTATCTGTTTAGTCCATCTATGACAATGCAGTGTCAAGATATGTTGGTTCTGTTTTCAAATACAACAATTGTGTTTCAATAGAATGACGATGGCTTTAAAGTAATCTTTGTTTATGTACTTTGTTATGAACAAGTGGTCATTGTTTTGTATTGTCTCCTATTGTCTAGCAACAATATGCAAGCAGGCACGTTTATGAATTCTTACAATAAATTCTAACTGGGTTTCCTGGGTAGTGCACTAGAGTGGCTTCCTTTGATCTGGTACTTTCTTACTTACTCGCCGATTGGTGCCCAGGGTACGGCGTACCATAAAAGAATGGTCAGGATCATCGGCTGTCTCAAGCCAACTCCTCTCACTTTTAGCATACCCTCTAGCATATATTTGTATGGCCACCAAATTCCCCGAGCTCGCCTTAAACACAAAGGCTACGAGTGAGGTTTACAAGAGCAACTACCGCCAGGTTGCGATCTGCTGTGGGCCGTTTGGAAATTCATAAATCGACTTCGCACTCAGGTAGGACGCTGCAGAGACACGATGAGTGGGGTTTCAGGAATGCTAGTCTAATCCAATGTGACTGTGGTGCCCCAATACAGCACTTACCGTTGTGCCCCTTGTGTCCTAATACACGTGCTAGGGAAGATCTCTACGCGGCCAGGAACAGCGCAGTCAAGGTAGCAACGTTCTATTCAGGGTCAATATAGTCCTAAAATAAAAGAAGTATCGGCCGTCGTGATGCCACGTGGTCAAGTACACATACTCATAGTTCAGGGAATTCTCTGGCACATCATCATCTAAATTGTGATGTGCAATATAGATATGATCCATTACAATACAATTCGCGTAATGTGGTTACTTTATCATTATTACATTGATATATCGTCAGTTGAACAAGCATTCCAGTACGTCGGACAACACATGGAGCTACCAGGTCAAACGTTAATGATGTCGGGAACAATAGCACTCGATGTCCATTCGCTAGTCGATATGTACCCTTGTGCTTTGTAGAGTGGTGTTGAACAATAAGTTATCCATTGCATTGCTACTCTAATTTTACAAACGTGTCGTCGAATTAAAAGTTCCAGTTTGTACAACTAGATTTACTACTAGGCTTGCTAGACTCTGGCCTTGGTGTGCATATTTTCAGGGAGCTTGTTAAATAAAGTATAAACAAAAGCTAGGTCTAGGATTGCCTAAACTTTAAATCTGGTCCTGATCATCATCATAGTCGTTGTCAACGTATTATATATCCATCTCACTGTTAGGCACAGATCTCCATTAAGTAGAAGGTTTAGGGTTCTTACGGTTTACAAGTATTTTGAGCTTTGTTCGACATGCTGTTCTAAGACCCGCGCATCTTTAAGTTCTCTAATTAAACCATAGTTCGCATTCTTCACAAATTCCTTCAATGCAGGCGACAGGTATGCTACCAAAGGCAACTAGATGCGGATTGGAGCTCATTAGGCCTTCTTTCCTCTCAGACTTGTTTTAAACAGAATCAAATCACCTATATTGGTATTGCGTTCTGTTCAATCTACAATTCTAATTCATGTTAATAATATAAAAAAAAAATTATGACACACTGTTATTTCTACACTATGAACACTGCAGTTGTAATATACAACGTTACAGGGAGACACTGCCCGGGCAAATTGCTCACTAGTGGAACGTCGTGAGTCAATATATACACGTTATCAAAGTAGACATTGTGTTTATATTTACACTGTGTAGCAACTATAGGTTAGCTGTTAAGCATGACTCTTGCCTACAGAAATAGAATACTCTACTTACTACTGCTATTCAAGGCTACAGTCAATAGGCATTTTTTAGCATTGTTGGTCACTTCATCCCATTGTGGCCGAGCAAAACGATATTATTCATAAAACGCAAAATGTCCAAGTTTCTTCATAATATTTTCCGATAACTATTGCGTAGAACGTAACTTGTTGAGTAAGCGGCCACGTGTAGGATCGTCTACGTGATCTGACACCGCGATCAAACCAACAAAGGACAATCAGAAAACTTATGCAAAGCCTGGATCAATTAGTCGACTCACGAAATGATGATAAACTTTGTTATCTCTGTGTCGTAACTTGACCCTTTGTAGTCGCTGATCTGGAAAAGTCTCTGCACCGGTAACCACCGTAATTCGTCATTGAGACCCACAGTGATATCATCTTACACCGGTCTTGTTCGTCTGTCTTAGGCCGCAAGTTTCAGTGTGGTACAAATCATAAAACGTGGCTCATCAGAGTGTAAAGCCATTGGCGATTTTGGTATTTATAAACACTTTTATATCACTAATCAAATAATCAACCACATCAGTGTGCTCGCTTACATTGAGAGGTTTCGAGTATTGTATGATTATACGACATTCGCGGTTTTCCGTGAAAACAACATTGTGTATTTCGTCGTGGTGTCAAGTTACGTAAATAGAGCGGTCAGGATTGTCACCTTTGAGGTGGCGGAACAAGTACTTCAGGCCAAATAATCCCATTACTGCTATAAATATTTCGCTATCAGATCACGTATATGTCCCCATTTGTCACCGTAAGCGATATTTTCTTTGTAGTTACAGCCAATTAATAGTAAGCAAAATTATTGACCTAGACTTCGATTTTCTGAGCATGTCTGGTGGGTTTTTATCGCGGTATCCTTATTCTTAAATGCATAGCATGTACAACTCCGGGGAATTTATTTCCAAAATGTGGCTCTGGGTGATATAAGGATGGAAATAAAACACTGAAATTACAGGAACATGGGACTTGTCAACTTATGATGGGCGCAATTGTAGTGCCCTTCAGATCTTTGCTATTTTAAGCTCTGAGTAGCACTGTAACTGTTATGGACAGGCGTGTAGCTTACCATCAGACGTACGACTTATTCGTCCCATCACTTGCTGTTATAAAAAAACACACTGTGTTCACTTCGTTAACGCAAGGTTGTACAATGAATAATTTATCGTAATTGAGATTTCTTGACCACTCGCTGTGACTTCTCACAAAATAGTGCCAAAAGACAGGCTTGCATTTCTTAGTTACGCTTTTACGCACTGGATAGGTATAACAATTATAGTTTTGGTATTTGCATCATTTATACGCAAAGTTTATTGTGCTGGTTATCTTCATTCTTCCTTATAAGTGTTAACTCTGCAGAACTGGCCAGAGATGAGATAAACTTGTCGCAACTATTTGATAACCTTGTCTTAAGGCATAGGATTCTATCATGAGGATAGTATTTTGACGATAATAATATCAGTTAACAACTACGGTTAGGACCAACCCGTTCAAAGTTGCTGTAGAGTTAATTCCGTGGTTTGCCGCCTCTGCCAACTTTTGTATTAATATCCGGCTTCTCCTTTCATTCAGATGAATTTGATTATGTATTTATTTACCATATGCTGAGATCATACATCGTATGTATGATGTATGAGGTTATTATAGCAAGCTGAAGGCAGATGCCCAGACGACATGACACTTATTGCATGGGACATGGATTTCACAATTATACATACATTGGCCATTGACTTACAAATAAATGGACGACGGGTCTAATACAAAAACCACGAAATAAATGTCCCAAGTCAACCTATTTAAACGTAGTGACATGTAAAGGAATATGAAAAAGCTAAAACGTTGAATTTAAATTTTAATGTCATCGCAGTACTGTCTAATTTTGCTTGCTTCGCTGTCAGTCGAAGAAATGAAGACTAAAGCGTGAATGACGCTCTGTATACGATTTTAACGCCCTATAAGTTCGGACACTTTTTACCGCGGACCCGACGTCCATATAATTGTAAGTCAATGACATTGGCCCAGTCTCACTTCTAAAATTTCAAGCCACAGTTGAGATGATGCATAATCGGCTCCAACTACTTATTCGGTTACTTTGGACTTGAGAAATGGGTTTCCAATGCCCTGTCTGTTTACAAAATTGTATTCAAAGACATTGTTTTTGAGACAGTCTTAAGTATACTTGCTATCAGAAAGACCTGATATGGTATTAACATATAGTGACGTAATAGCGCTACTATTATTAATTACTAATTATAAATAATTATACCTACAATGCATAACCTGTTACTTCATATTGTTACGGAACTATTTCTCTATGTTGCGGTGTATTGCAGATAATTTAGTGTGCCTCCTTGGCGACAATTTCCGTGCTTCATCAATCGAGATTGCTTCCGTGTTTAAAATATTTATACCTCCATATTTTTCTTTTACTATGTCTAACCATCTCGTTTTCTTTTCCAGGCTTCTCTTCCGTAATACCCGGCTATCCTCGCTACACGATGTTCGGAGAACGTCGTCAAGGCGTTTACAATCTTCGAATTGTGAACGTGACGTTAGAAGACGATGCTGAATACCAATGTCAGGTTGGGCCGGCCCAAATGCACAAGGTCATCAGGGCGAATGCTTCGCTGACCGTAATATGTAAGTATTTTATTATATTTTTAACCTATTCATGTTCCTCAATTTCCAAAATTGTGTACAGCGCTATCTAATAGCCATTACGTTACTATTTAGTCAACTTAGTTGATAAAGTTATTACTTTTCAAAATGTATATACTACGCCATCTAGTAGCGATAGCGGTACTATCGCTGAAAATTTGCGTCAGCAAAAACATCAGCAAGTTGCATAATGCAAATAACGAAAACCACTATATTCAATAGGTACCTTACACATACCAATGATTTTTTTTTTGTATCTATTTTTTTTATATCTACTGAATGAAATAGAACGTACGTACTATATTGTGCGATAAAAAAAATAAAGCCTGTATCCCTGTTCGCTCGACCCAAGCAAAAAGAACCGTTTCTGTGTGGGAAAAAAATTCATTCGAGCTGATAGATTCTTAAATATAGATCGAAAAAATCGAAGAAACACAAAGAAACTCCCTTCGACCCGACTGGATTCGAATTAGCGCCTGTTGCCTCAACGTGGCTACCGCTCTGCCAACGAGACGAATCGAGCTAACAGACTACGGATTTCTCAATTTGCTTGTTGCCGATCTTTGTATATGGTTTTTTAAACGACTTTTTTGTAGTGGCGCCATCAGTGAGAACTTACCTTAACTTACTTACTCAGGTACCTTTACAGCTACCGTATGTTATGTCGCTATACTAATTGCAATATTTTTTATTGAATATAGTAACAACATCGCGATATTCAACAAAAATTTAGGACATCTAGGTCCTCCGTAATTTTCTTTATCATCACTCTGACTTACTTTTAGACGTACAATGTTAGGCCCCAAATTTATTTCTTGCAACCCTTAGCACTTTATTCATGCACTAAATTCTTTTTATGACAGTTTTAAAGATATAACATTATATTATAATATTATGCGACCCCGAAATATACCGGTAGTAGTAAAAATGTAATACGGAACCTTTTCTATAACATAAATTTTATAATAACATCATCTTTTCGAGCGTAATGTACATGTAATGTATGGAGATTTTTTCGATACGATTTCTTTTTTAGGGTTAGATAGGTTGAATTATATTTTACTAATTATTTATTTTAAATATATGGCTATTTTAGTGGCAGTAGAGCTCCACGTGGAAGAATTCGTCCAGGGAAACACTGCCACCAGTGTGAGCATTATTGCATTCCGGTTTTGAAGGGCAAGGGTGTTGGTGAAATTACAGGCACATGGGACTTGTCAACTTATGTCGCAGGGTGACGGGCGCAGTGGCAATGCCCCTTAGATCTTTGCGATTTAAAGCTCTGAGTGGCACTGCAACTGTTATGGACAGGCATGTAACACACCACCAGGCATAGGACTTGTTCGTCTCGTCATTTGATATTATAAAAAAGATACTCGTACATATCGCGCATTCAAAACTAAAGTGACATAAAAAGTAATTTTTAGGAGACTGACAAAATATATTAAAAAAAAATAACGCGCGTCACCGACCATGCCAATTGGCTCGTAGTAAATATGACAAAAATATATTGGATATGAAAAACTTTATATTCTATATCTTATTTCGTACGATTTTTTTAAATAATTCTGTTAATTTCCCATATATTTTAGTTTTGGAATGTTGTCGTTTTATTTTTGAGATTGCGATTTGCTTTTTTGTTATTCAAGCTGACAAATAGTCAAACTGTGTGAAGCAAAGTGGATATCTTTCATGGGAAATCTGACGTATTTATATGCCTCTTTTGGTTCCCCCTACCAATCAACCGTGAACACAGCCATGTTAGTATGCTGTAGAAATTTCAGCCAGCGATGGTGACACCTACCTAGACTACACGACCACACCAATTGTCTGGTATCAAACTAGGAAATTCACTGTACTACGAGGACCAGAGTTAGTTAGTTAATTTCCCAAATTGATCTTACCGGAAATCGAATCCGCGACCTCCGCATCTACACACACTGAGTCAAATTGACAAGTCCCATTTGCCTGTATCCAATGGGACTTTTTACTCTTCAAAACCGGAGCGCAGTAATGCTCCCGTTACTGCTTGTCGGCAGAAATAGATAAAGTGACAGTACTTCCCTGTACTATTTCACAAGAAGCTCTAGGTACTGCTAGGTAAAATGAAGGGTTATTGTATATGCATAAATTAGTGCCATGAGAGGGTGCGTTAAAAAAAGTTATTTAAGAATTTCTTTCATAGATTTCTCATAGATGGCGCTACAGCTAAAAAGTCGTAAAACTCCAGATACAAAGATTCGACAACAACAAAGATGGGAATAGGTTTCTAATCAGAGCATGTAAATCTAATAATGATCGTTACCACCACATCGATATATTTACCTGTAAACTAAATTGTTTTCGTCAAATGTTAAAAAAGTAGATTTTAGTTAATAAATTAAGTAATTATTTCTTTTCTGCAATAATTGTCTCTATTTTTTTAAAACTTGTTTAGAGCTTTGTCATTTGGTTAGGCCATTGTTTACAGAATTTTGTCATTGTGTAGTAGATTAAGTGCTTTCGGCCTTTACTTTGTGAATTATCTATCATTGGAAACAAAATTTGGCTAAATTTAATATTTAATAGGTAACACATTTATGTAATATGTAAGCTGTATGTTTCTTTAAATAAATAAATAAATAAATAAAAATAAAAATAGACAACAAGCACATAGAAAAATACGTGAGGTCCGCTGGTTCGTTTCGTGGCTTAGTTGGCATAGCGTCTGGCACGGTTTGCTAGAAGACGTCGGTTCGAAGCATTTTTTTCTAAGTGTTCGTTCTATGTATTAATGATTACGACAAACTAGTGAAGCAATTTCAAAAATAATTGAATGTCATGGTGGCGAACACATCCTGACATTCAATAAAACACTTAATTATATAAAAATGTCAATGTCATTCTGATCGCCATTGACAGATTGACTAACGTGACTTAATACTGGTCAGAACCTTTAGCCTTCTTAAGATTTAAAAATAATGGTTCATCTGCTCGTTGCCGCCAAAAAAAAACAATAGAAAAAAAAAGGAATCAGGTGTTCAAATTAGGAATCTCGCACGTATTAACAGACGCATAAATTCCGACCCACTCTTCGCATGTGGGGTCCAAGAAATATCGTCCAATTGGCTACCCTATTCCGAGGCCTATGGCTTATTGGATACGGAACTGGTGAATTTGAATAAAAGGCTCTCGTAAAATAATCGCGGGCTATTATTGTGAATCGGGAATAGGGATGGGACGCTTTGTTTATAATTTAACCGATTTATTTACAAAAGTAACTAATATTTTTATTAACAAAGTATTTGTTACTGATTTCGTGGCACTGATTAAAAATGCTAGTAGCGCTTAAAAACTTTAGAATTTGTAGTTTGGTGTTTATTCACATAATATGGCCGATATGTAGAAGTCATTACTTAATATACTCCCGGACACATAATTCGAGCAATGTCAGTATTAAATGCCTTTAGCTTAATAACGTTTGATTGCTCAATAACTAATTCAAGTTTTGGACGGGTGTATTAAACGTCATTTTCAAAAGGTACTGTTAAAAATTTGAATTTGCGAAACCGGGAAAAATCTTTCTTCAATGATAATAATATTTTTTTGTTCTAGCACTTGAAAAATAAAAACGCAAGATGGCTCGATTTATTGAATTTGACTCCAGACTCGCGTTATTTTCAAATAAGAAAATACTTTATATTCTACAATTTTGACATAAAGTTGGACAGCCCGTGGTGTCATTTTTACACTAAATAATTTGTAAAAATTCTGACGAAGCACAACCCTACATTTTGTCTTTTAGATCGTTTGTACTCAATGCCATTAACTTTAAGTATTTAGTGTTTGAAATTGGAACAAACTTTGTTTATAATGAATCTTCGTTAAAGGAACCAATGAATGTTTACAGGGTTCTTGCATTAATATAATGTCTTCAAAGAATAAAAAAAAAAAATGTTGTAAAGATCGCAAAGCAGGACAAATCGCTCATTCAATTGTATAAAAAGACGAAATGAAAAAAAGTAATTTTTGGGAAACTAAAATAAAACTTAAAAAAATTCGTGAGGTCTGTTGATTTGTTCCGTAGTAGCTTAGTTGGGGGAATAGTTAGCCCCGGTCTGCTAAACAGGTGATTGTTCGAGTCCAGCCGGATAGAAGGAATGTTTCTTTGTGTTTATTCTATCTTTAACAGCCTTTGACGCCGAACGGTTATCATGCTGAACTGCCACGCAGAGGTTCGATTCCCGGGCCGGGAGAAATATTTGTATGGCCTACAATTATGTCTGTTGTGAGTTTGGGTGCAATATGTGGTTGTCTATGTGTATGTCTATGGCACCCGTGATATATGGTGTCCCTAGTGCGGGTGTGTGTCCATAATAACACCATATTAAAAAGGACTTTGATTTATAAAATTTTTGAAACACCAATCTAATTTTATTTGACATGAAAAAATATAATATATCAGTTTTATTTTGAACGTTGCTTTTTAATGCGACTAGAAAAATTGTTGTGTATTACGTTTAAAAAAAAAATTAAAAAAAAAATTTGTCAGTGTTCCAAAAATATTACAATTCCAATATCGTAATTTTATTATTGAAGAAGAAAGTAGGTTTGAAATTTCAGTCTAACACATCCGTTTTAGCAATATACATGGCAGTATTGCCCAGGCAGTACTACCCAGATGTCTTTCGCTTAGAGAGACCATGTGCTCAATGGTGGAGAGTAAATAACTTTTAACCGCAATTCAATTAATTCAGTAAAACATTTATTCAATAAGAAAATATATTATTAAAATATTTTGTATGTATTAATGTGGCAACATCGATATTTGTTTTCGTTGGCAATACCGGTGGCCATTTTTTCTTACTACTAAAATCGTTCATAACGTTTTAATACATTTTACATACATAAATTTATTGATCGAATGTGTTGAAAACGTGGAACGAGGTACATAACTCGATAAGATTGGGATGTCCTTAGAAAAGGTCTAGGTGAAAAATGGA